GATACTTAGTGACTATAAAGCATCAGATATTTAGTGACTATAGTTGCCGATAATACACAATGAGCATGAGATACTTAGCGACTATAAAGCATCAGATACTTAGTGACTATAAAGCATCAGATATTTAGTGACTATAGTTGCCGATAGTACCCAATGAATATCAGATATTTTGTGACTATAGTCGCCGATAGTACATATTGAGCATCAGACATTTGGTGACTATAGTCATCGGTAGTACACAATGAGCATCAGATATTTTGTGACTATAGTCGCCGATAGTACACATTACGCGTCAGACATTTGGTGATTATAGTTATCGGTACTACACAATGAGCATCAGATATTTTGTGACTATAATCGCCGATAGTACACATTGAGCATCAGACATTTGGTGACTATAGTCATCGGTACTACACAATGAGCGTCAGATATTTGGTGACTAAAGTCATCGGTAGTATCCATCAAGCGTCAGACAACGGGTGACTATAGTCACAATTAGTAACAAAAAGGTTAATCGTGTGCTGGAAAATCGGCAAGGATATCGTCGATGGAAATAACAAGGAATCACGACAGATTCAGAAGCGTGGAACCCGGACTGACGAGGATTTACGATGACTACGGGTGGTAAAAATCGAATAATTGCCTCGTCTGGCTCGCATTCGCGAGGACCTGATATCGCGTGTTTAATCACGGATAGCTGTGTACAGGCCGGAATGAAACAAACTAGTGAGTGTGAATGTCGTGTTGTAGTGGTGTAAAGTGGCGAGCGGAGAGGAGAGGAGAGGAGAGGAGAGTTCTAGATGCGCTGAATTTGTTGGAATGGCTGTGGCGAGATTAGGAGAAACGAGTGGCGATAGTTTCGCAAATGGGACCGTAGAAAAAGTGAAGATAAAAATCGAAGATGGAAAAACGAAGGGATTACTTCTTCATTTCTGACAAAAACATGATTTCTCCATCTTCAGGCTGTAGGTTTTTGTGATAGAAGAAATTTGATTAACATTCTCAGGGAACAGATCTCATAAGAATTTGATTAAAATATTGGCGTAATTACAATTGTCGAGTAATCTAGAGCTCTCGCTCTGCTTTTTTCATCGTTTGATTTCTAAACCACAGTATCAGATCAAAGATCGGTTTTCTAAATTGAAGGAAAAATTTATGGACTACAATTTACATTAATTAATAGTTTGCTAATTTCTTAACAAGATGACGTACCGCTTTCAGTCATCGATTTCCCGAGTAATTTGTACACTTTGATAGAATTAACGATGATCAAAGTGTCCAGGTACTTGCGGGGCAGACGACGTCTTATGTAAAAGGGACTTGGCGATGTACTAGCGATCGACTTCACCGCGAAGGAGAGAAGGCTTGCGCTCCGTTCCCGATATTCTACAAGAAACTTTCCCAAGGATTTCTACTGCTCAAGAGGCTAATGAAAAATTTAAATAAGTCCATTAAGTCTATGCTTGCTTCTGCGTTTTTTCCTCGGTTATTCTGACAGTTTCGCGCTAATAGAATGATTGTATTAAAGCAGCAAGAAGCGAGCCAACTCAAAGAAGGGATCTCCATCGATTTTTCGTAGGGACGACGAAGAAATTAGTTATTATTAGTTAGCTACTCATAAGCATGACAATTGAATAAATATTAACAGAGAGAAATTTTACAAGGGAGACACGAGTTTCGATCAATTCTTTCACGAGTGATGAATTACGAGATTATACTGAATTTCACAGAGAAACTTCGCAGGATTACAGAAGCGTAGAACTTGCAAACTTGCAAGATATTATTTATCGTACGAGAAACGGCAGTCCAGACAATTTCTGAAGATAGAAAAACATCTCTCGTACTTGTAATTCAAAGAATTTCTCCAGAGACTTCGTTGACGCGAGTCAAACTGGAAATGCAACGAATTGCACTCCGTGATCTACTATGCTTGTTAAGAAAATGAAAGGTAAGACCCGGTGCTTCGATAGTGGAAGGTTAGTATTTTTATTCAATTACGTATTAATGAACGAAAGTGTAACAGAGTCGCTGTTTCGAAATCAAATTCGACGTCGTCCTATAAAAATCGAGGAGGAAATATGGAAAATCGAAACTTTCCGGTCGATGGCGCCAATTAAACAACGCGAAGAGCTGCACGACTGTCTCGTCGTGCGAGAGCTCGATTCGTTCCGCATCCACCGTTTTCAGCGCGATGTTCGCGACGTTCACCCGTTTATCGCGTATTCAGAGAGGAAGCCTCTCCTCCATTTTCTTTCTTCGTCCGGCTCCACTCTCAGAGCTGCAATGAAGCTAAATGGCTCGCCGAGGAAATGCTTTTGTGCCGCGGTAACGGCACTGTCTCGAAGAAAGCTCGAGGATCCTTTGAAGGGCTGCAAATCCTTACGATTTGATTTACGATCTTCTTCGGTTCGAGAACTCTCTTTCTCTCTCTCTGTCGGTGGAACGAAAGAGCAAAAAAAAAAAGAGGAAAAAAAGAGAGAAAGAAGAAACTCCTTGCGCGTCGTCGTTCGAAAGGAAAACAAGATGAAACGCGCGATTATGAAATTATTCTTCGATACACAGTGACTTCACCTTCTTCTCGTTTTACGAGACTCGTTGTAAAAGGAAAAAGAAAGATAAAATGAACGAATATTATTACGGTGACACGAGATGAAACATTTTGAAGAATATTCGTTTTAAATTTATATATATATTTTTACTTACGCAACTGAAGAGAATTTAGAGAGATTCGTTTTGACCCATTGAAAATTATACTGAGCGCATTCTGTGCATCATTGCGTCCTACAATCCACAAAAATCTTACAATGGAATTCATGGAAAGCTTAAATGTAAGAGAACTGTGGAAATATAACACAAAAATATATATTTCTTCTGTTTAAATAATCTTGCTTAATTTAAGTGATACCATTACATTTTTCAAAGATTATCTTCAATCCTTGTTGAACACGTATAATCTTACAGTTGATTTTGTCTATCAGATAGTAGACCTTGTAACAAATTCAACGTGCTTGATAAAAAATACTTTTCTAATAGAATGATACGACGATAAAAGTGTGATAGAGTGATGCAACGATTGAAGTGAAGAGTGCCAATAGAATGACGTGCAAGATTTCTAATCGAATTTACTTGGAGATACCTTTCAGTGTAATGTTGAACGTACACTTTTATAATTATTATATATATATATTTCATTAGGATGTTCTTTTCCTATAATATATTCCATAAAAAATTAAATTACTACGTGTAATTCACTTTGTACAGCATCACTTTGAATATATTACCGTCAATAAAAAAAACAGCATATACGTTGTACTTAATAAATATTTCACATCTGTCAGTCCGTATGAAAAAAAAAAACTACACGTAAGAGGGTAAAAAGTGACCAGGGAAATCTTTTATTTAAAATTCAAGGGAAAATAAAATTCTTGTAATTTGCGTTACGCAAGAATGATTAAATAAATATACTTTTTAAATCTACTTCGCTATACCAGGCAAAGTGATGGCAGGCAATATCGAAAGGGAACGCGAAATTGAGAATAAACGGCTGATTTATTCCCCCTTGAAGCGGAGGAGAAACGTCCGGCTGCAACCAGGAAGGTTGCTCTTTGTCTCGTCTGAACTTTCGTCGAGGGTTATCTCCTCACAATCAGTCTAGTGACCATAAGATTCGTCGACCTTGACCCAGATCGTTGAGCTCCACGGGGGAGAGAAAGAACGTCGCGCCAAGCTGCCCGAAACTTTTAATGCCTCGGTCTATTTAGGGGCGAGCAATTTAGCCGGTCGCCCGAAAAGCAGCTTAACGTCGAAGGCTGCCCGAGTGATTTGTCCCTCGAAGAGAGGCGTCAAGTGATTTTCATTGAACGATGACGAGTCGCGGCGTGATGTCACTGAGGCGATGGTGAGTACCGGCGCGATGAAATGGACAAACAGAGTTGATGGATCTTCTAAACAAATTTCCTTCTCCCGAAATCTCTTTTCGTTGTTACAGTGTTCCAATTGATTTGACGTGACTTTGAGAGAACGATAAGGGTGGTAATTTTTGCTTGATGTAGCAAGGTCGCTCTAAATTTCACAAACCAAGTATATGTGAAAAGTCAACGGACTATATTCTCGCCTCATGTCTGAAACTATATACAAATTTTAAAATTAAAGAAAGTAAAAATTTTGCAAAATGTTACGTGCAATTCAAGATCGTCTTACATGATCACGCGACAACAAGATCGTTCTAAATTTCACAGGCTAAATATATGTGAAAATTCAACGGACCACATTCTCGTCTCGTGTCTGAAACTATATAAAAATTTTAAAATTAAAGAAAGTAAAAATTTTGCAAAATGTTACGTACAATTCAAGATCGTCTTATATCGATCAAATCGATCGAACAAATTACTACGAATAAAACGAGCGGGATTTCGATTGTATTTCACAGGGCTGACGCGTGAAATTCCAATTTGCATCGAGCTTTGTATCAAACACCGTGCAAACACTTCACATTCTCTCTCCATTAACATCAACTTTTATCGGCGATCAAATTTATTTGCCGGCACACGGCCAGCCCCGTGCAAAGCGCGAAATTCACCTCGTCAAAGAGGCTGACTAAACGTTTGTCCATAAAAGTATGTCGAACTTCGAAAATGCCCCGGCAAGGTCAATTTCTTTTTCGATTGCACTCGCCGGCTCGCTCCTTCCAATTCCACAGCGGAAACCTTTGGAACCTCGTACATCACTGAAACACTGGGAAAAACTAATGAAAACCAGGATCGAAACGAGAATTCGTCTGCGGAGAAATATTGCATAATCCGCTTCCTAGATTCGTTCTCTCTTTTGCCACGGAAATTCTGCTATCCGATTTTAATCCGATTCTTCGTTTCAACGGGGATGAAAACGAGTGATCAGAGATGTATTTTTTTCTGTTTCTTTTGTCTGAGATAGGAAATTTTCAAACTGAAAATTTGAGGATCGTAAATTTTGTCTCCGAAACAAGTGAGATCGAGAGCACACGACTGAGATGAAAAATCAGGAATGAAGTGTCTTCAGAGTAGCGAATAAATACGACGAATTTTCCACGATCAGACCGTTTGTAAAACTCGATTACACTCGCAAGCTTCTCGCAGAGTGGAACGATCAAAAGCTTGAAAAATTCATTCAGAGAGTAAAAGAACGGTGAATTCCTTTGGAAACGTCTTGCGGTTTTTAAAGAACAAATACGGAAGACCCTGACGTTGAAACGTTCAGGACTCGATTGTTTGCTGATTCTTCTCGCGAAATCACTGTAAACCACGTGCAGAGAGAGACGAGCGGCGAGCGCCGTGTTTTTGGACTTATCGAGGTGGAAAATTGCGACTTTCCGAAGCGTCGCGAGCGATATTTTCTTTCGTCGAATTCGTCGGATTCGAGCAAGCAAGTGCTGCGAAGAGGCGAAAGCTCCGCCAAACATTTCGGGGTCAGGAAGTAGCTCGAGGCGTCGAATGCTACGTGTTTATCGTCAATAATTACGCTCATATTGCTGGCTAAATTGCAAACCTGAACCTGCTGGAAATTGGAAGTTAGGCGAGGAGGAGTAGTTCTGACGTCATTATCATCAGAGAGAATCGACATCTCGCGAGATACAGTGATGAACAAAAGTATTCGCGCACTCGACGAACGAGTTGCC